GCGACGCCCATGTCGGCACGCCCCGCACGAGGATCGCGCTCGCTTCCTCTCGTTCTTTTCCTTCTTCTTTGCCCGCGCACTTCAAAGTTCAAGGCTGCGGGCGCCGCGCTACGCGGAGCCCCCGCGACGCGCGCAAGTCGCCACGAAAAGGTCGCAATGACGCGCGCAGTTCGTCCGCTGTGCGGAGCAGAGAGTACTTGCAGGCTACGGCGGCCGACGACAACGAAGACATCGGCCCTAGGGACCCTGTCGGGACCACCAGCTCCCTGTGGGGCCACGAAGCGTTTGAGGGGGGTGCCGAGTTGGGTGTGCGGGGCGCATGCGGGCGGCGGCACTGGGGCATTCGATGGCCGATTTGGGTGCGCGGGACGCATGCGGGCGGCGGCACTGGTGCCTTCGGTGGAGATCCCTGTGGGGCCGCGAAATGTGTGAGAAATGTGCCGAATTGGGTGTGGGACGCATGCGGGAAGCGGCACTGGGGCCTTCGGTGGAGCTCCCTATGGGGCCGTGAAACGTGTGAGGGGTGTGCCGAGTTGGGTGTGCGGGACGCATGCGGGCGGCGGCACTGGGGCCTTCGGTGGAGCTCCCCATGGGGCTGCGAAGCGTGTGAGGGGTGTGCCGACTTGGGTGTGCGGGACGCATGCGGGCGGCGGCACTGGGGCCTTCGGTGGAGCTACCCATGGGCCACGAAACGTGTGAGGGGTGTACCGAAGTGGGCGTGTGGGACGCATGCGGGCGGCGGCACTGGGGCCTTCGGTGCAGCTCCCTATTGTGCCACAAAACGTGTGAGGGGTGTGCCGACTTGGGTGTGCGGGACGCATGCGGGCAGCGGCACTGGGGCCTTCGGTGGCCGAATTGGGTGTTGTGGACGCATGCGGGCGGCGGCACTTGTGGGGCCGCGAAACGTGTGATAGGTGTGCCGAATTGGGTGTGGCACGCATGCGGGCGGCGGCACTGGGGCCTTCGGTGGAGCTCCCTGTGGGGCCGCGAAACGTGTGAGAAATGTGCCGAATTGGGTGTGCGGGACGCATGCGGGCAGCGGCACTGGGGCCTTCGGTGGAGCTCCCTATGGGGCAGCGAAATGAGGGGTGTGCCAAATTTGGTGTGCGGGACGCATGCGGGCGGCGGCATTGGGGCCTTCGGTGGAGCTCCCTATGGGGCCACGAAACGTGTGATGGGTGTGCCGAAGCTGATGACGATGATGGTTTCGATGATGGCGATGATGATGGTGATGAGGATGATAGTGACGATGATGATGGTGATGACGATGATGAGGACGACGACGATCACGGTGACGATGATGATTATGACGATGATGATGGTGGGAGGGAGGAGGGGGAGGAGGAGGAGGAGGAGGAGAGGAGACGCGGGGCGCTGTCTCTTCGAAACGAGGACCCAACACCACAGGATGGTTGGGAACACAGTGGAGCTCTGACGGGTGTCGACCCTGGAGAGAGCTCAGGGGAGGCCCCAGAAAAGGCTCGGGAGGAGAGGGGTGAGGCTCTCATGGAGCGCTCCTGGGGTTGCCCCCGGGCGCTCTGGGGCTCTACGGGCTTTCACCCGGCCTTGTGAGGCCTGTTGAGCAGAGTCGGAGCAGCGCGATGGCTCTAACGCTTCGAGGGCCCTTTGGGCGCACTTCTCGGTCCTGTGGGGGAGGGGGGCCCCAGGCGCGGATCCAAGAAATCCGCGCGGAGCGCCAAAAGTTTATGTTTACGGCGGAGGCCAGTCCACAAGAAACCTTCCACAAGAAACCCAACCCTGAGACCCCAGGACGTCCATTGATTTTCGGTGTGGGAACGTCACGCTTTTTCCATCGCAGAACCATCGAAACCCAAGAAAGCCAGGGCACCCTGGAGGCCAGCAAGGTGTTTCTTGGCATGGACACCCCACTGTATGGCGCTTCTTTTTCTTCGATTCTTGCGTGCCTCAGGGGTCATCCCCAAGCAATCTTGGCCTCTGGGCGTTCCGTCCGGAACGGCCCTGGTGGAAAACCCGGGGGCCCTGTTGGGCCGGTCCGTCAGGGGGCCGTCTGGGTGCCCTGCAGGGCCCGCTTCCTCCTCCTCCTCCTCCTCCCTCTCCTCCTCTCCTCTCCTCCTCCCCCCTCCCTCCTCCCCCTCCTTCCTCCTCCTCACTCCTCCTCCCTCCTCCCCCTACCGCCTCCCCCTCCTCCTCCTCCTCCTCCTCCTCCTCCTCCTCCTCCTCCTCCTCCTCCCTTCCTTCTAATGTTCCTCGACCTCTTCTTCTTCCTCTGCTTGCCTTCCGCGGAATCCGGCCCGCCAGGGGCCGCATCGGCGCCCAACAACTTAGGCGCAGGATTTGGCACTTGGGACCGTCTCGGGGGCCGCTGGAGCCTTCTCTCGGGCCGGTCGGGGGGGGGCTCCTGGGCCGTCTTGGGGCTGCAGAAACCGAAGGACGACGATTTTGGAGTCCCGAAACAGTGCGGTGACAGACCGTACGGTGACCTCGAAATCCCCAAAGACCTCACCGCACGGTTCGTCAACGCACGGTTTTGGGACGTCGGATGCCCTAGTCGCCCGAGACGTCCTCGAAGAACGACCCGAGTCCCAAAACCGTGTGGTGACCCCGAATCCCCACCGACTCACCACACGGTGTGTTCACCACCCCGTTTGGGGGCCGCCAAATGATGCGAGATCTGTCCCAAACCACCAGATCACTAAATCAGCCACCTGCTGGTCGGAAGGTCGTCGTCGTCGTCGTCGTCGTCGTCGTCGTCGTCGTCGGCAGCCTGCCCAAGGAGGCGAGCTGTCGATCCGCCAGCACCGCAGACTCCGCTGGACCTCCCAGGAGCCTGTGAAAGTGGCCACAGCTCCGCAATTGGCAACCGCCCTCCCGGGGAGCTGATATGCAGCGGAGGCCAATTCACAAGAAACCTTCCACAAGAAACCCAAACCTGAAACCCCATGACGTCCGTCGATTTTCGGTGGGAACGTCATGCCTTCCATAGCAAAACCATCGAACCCCAAGAAACCCAGAGCACTCTGGAAGCAAGTGGGCCCCCCACTGTACTCGGGATCCATTTCACCCCGCGCTCTGCTAGCTCCCAGGAACTCACGAGGAAAGAAACACCTCCGCAATCGCCCCCCCCCCCCCCCCCCCCCCCCCCCCCCCCCCAGGGAGCCCGGGTGCAGCTTCGACCCCTTCAGCAGGGCTGGACCTAAACGTTGCTTTTCGTTTTGTCGTTCGTTTTGCTCTACGCTCTACCTGTTTTCCTGCACCTCCCTGCCACAACGAAACACAAAACACAACCTAAGTCCAATTTAGGTCCAACCCTGCCCTTCAGCTCCGCACTCCACTGGACCTCCAAGGAGCTCACGGTAGCGGCGACAGTATCGCAATGGCAACAACCCCAGAGGCCGTGCCCATGACGGACTGGGCGAATATTGCCCGGAATCTCTCGGGTCCCCATCTTCTTCAATCCTCGGGCCGTCTATTGGCTGCCAGGATCCGTCCTGGGAACAGAACTACTGGGGCCGTCTTGGCAGTCTCGGGAGGCTCTTGGGTGGCCTTGGGGCTCTCTTGGGCCCATCGGGATCCTCGTGGGGGTCCGTCGGGGCGATCTCGGGGCAATGCTGGGCTCGTCCTGAGCCATCTGGGGCCCCCCGCTCGGGGACTCGTGAGCCCCCTCGAGGCCATGTCCTGGCCGAGGCCCTCCTGAACGAACGGTGGGGCAGACAGCTTCTGCTCGGCGAGGGCAGCCGCCGGCCGGCCCTGGGCCGAAGGGGCCACCCTGCCCCGGGGGTGTGGCCCGTGTTTCACGCCGCCTGGAGGAGGAGGAGGAGGAGGAGGAGGAGGAGGAGGAGGAGGAGGAGGAGGAGGAGGCGGAGGCGGAGGCGGAGGCGGAGGCGGAGTTGGTCCTGACCGCCCTGACGGTGGTGGGAATCAAGGGGACGACGAGGTGCGCCGACGAGAGAAGCAGACACGATCGCCGAGGGAGCCCGGCGGGCCCGGCGGCCGGCGCACGGGCCGCCTGGAGGCGAGCAGGGTGTGTCTTGGCATGGGTCTCCGCTCCTCCTCCTCCTCCTCCGCCTACTCCTCCTCCTCCGCCTCCTCGCCTCCTCCGCCTCCTCTCCTCCCTCCTCCTCCTCCTCCTCCTCCTCCTCCTCCTCCGCCTACTCTCCCTCCTCCTCCGCCTCCTCCCCCCTCCACCTCCTCCTCCTCGCTTCCTCCGCCTCCCTCCTACCCTCCCCCCTCCCCCTCCTTCCCCCCTCCTCCTCCTCCTCCTCCTCCTCCTCCTCCTCCTCCTCCTCCTCCTCCTCCTCCGTAACCATACTGTAACCGCGACGAAACGACGCTCCCCGCTGGAGAGGGGGGAGCACGCTCCCAGCTTCAGGCGCGCTCCAAGCGCAGGAGGGGCCAAGCGCAGGCGGGGCAGACCCGCAAGCGGCTTCGGAGCGCCCAGAGATCCGGCGCACCGGCCAAACACCGAGACGGAGGCCGTGCGCCGAGTTCGGCCTCCGGAGGCCGTCGCCGGGCCCAAGGGGCCGCCAACAAACGACTCGGGATGAGAAGCCGGTCCTGGGTCGGGGATCTCCTAGCCCGGGTCAGTCAGACCCGGGTCAGCAGGAGACCAAGCAACTGCAGTGCAGGAGAAGAAAACTGCAGCGCAAGTCTTCGCAAACCCGGGTCAGTCAATATGCGCGACCGCCTCGCGGCCACGAGCGGCTCGCTGACCCGGGTCAGCCAAAGGGGGTCTTCGCAGGATCCTGCAGGATCCGGTGCCCTGGCTGACCCCCGTTTGACCCCCGTCTCTTGAGCCCTGACCGGCGGCATGTGCGCGGCCCAGCGGGGGGGCCAGGGACGTAATGAAATAAGAAGGGGCGCCATGAAATCTGGGAAATATCATGGCCCCCGCCATGAGATCCCCCCCCCCCTAGTCATCACCCCCCTCTTTGCCGCCCCCGAAACAAACGACTCGGGGAGGAGGAGGAGGAGGAGGAGGAGGAGAGGAGGAGGAGGAGAAGGAGGAGGAGGAGGAGGAGGAGGCGGGAGGAGGAGGAGCAGGAGGAGGAGGAAGAGGAGGAGGAGGTCCTGGGGAGTGGGTCGATGCTTCCAGGGGCCGCGTGCGGCAGAGATCATGGCATCGGCTCCCTGGGCAGAGTCCTCCCAGCCGATCCCGTGTGCTTGCGTCTGGGGGGCAGTGCTCGCCACCCTGCGCCCGCCAGATCGCGATGAGACGGCGGTCTTGACTGCTCCACAGTACCAATTATGTGAGTTCTGGAGTAAAACAATCACTCCCACATAACTAAACTGGCATGCTGATTCCAAAGAACTATCAGCTTTACTATCAGCTCACTGCAGCCGGTCGTTTTGCACGCAACCTCGTACATGAGAACCTTGCAGCATTTGGAGGCTCACCCCTTCGCCATGCCGCTAGTAGCGCAGAAGAAAAACGAGTGCAAAGAAACATAGACATGCGCACACACACATTACCCCCTGGCATAACGGGGACCGTGCAAAAGATAATCAACTGCCGCAAGATAATCAACCATGCTCATTTTGCATACCGCATCAGTGCAACTCAACGGAGGTGCTGACGCGGGAACAAATCATGAGATACATCGCCACAGCCGAGTGGCCATTGCTGAGGCGGGAACCAAATATCACACGACTTGACTTCCAGGGTGCAGCGGTGCCAGATTTGATTGTCCATCGACGCATTTCTCTTCAGATTGATCTCTGTGTCCAGCGAAGCGGTGCTGGATCTGTTCGTCTAAGGACGCAATTACCTTCAGATTGATCTCTTTGTCCTTCGCATTCGTGACAAGGATGTCATCATGCGAAAGAGTAGCGATTGCTTCTGGCGTATCAGTTTCGTGCCAGAACTCGAGCACCTGTGCCATGCTCTCTGCATCCTTCCCGCTCGCAGAGTAGATGCCATAGACCAGTACTCGGAGGCGATCCTCGCTAGCTGGCACTAGCCCATGCTCTGTCGCCATCTTGGTGGAAATCCAGCACTCCACATTTGGCCAAAACCGCTGGTTGTAGATCCGCTCGTACAAGACAATCACCCTGCACCCGAGGAAGATGTAAGGCAATATATTCTCCAATATCATCCTGAACTCAGCCTCTTCCTCATCGCTCCGTCCACCGCCATGCCACTGAGGTGCGCAAACCCAATCGATCCATAGAAACTGTATTGACGGCTTATCTTTCAATATGTCCTGCAATTTACGCAATTTCATGCATTCTGGGTCGAAGTGCTCGGGCACTGGCCAACGATGAGAAACTGCCGCCATGTCCACTGAGTATTGCCCCGACCAAACGTCATCGATGTGCATCCTCCGCTTGACCAACATTCCCATGTCACGACACACCTGATGACGCGGGAGGGGCGTGTCCGGTGACATTTCCATGATTTTCTGCACGGGGAGGAGCCAGAATTCCATACTCTCAGGAATACTACTAATTGTCTCCTCTACGCTAACGGCTAACAATCCGTCGTTAACATGGCCCTGGTCACGGCTAACAGGCCGTCGCCGAAACCAGCACACCAGGGCACATGTTGTGCCGCAGGCGAAGCAAACACTCATGATGATCACGACGGGAATCGTCGATGCATCTAAACCTTGCTCCTGCTCCAACACTTGCGGCTTACTGGTGGTGGTGCTGCTGCGTGAGGTGAACGAGCCCCTGGACACCTCGGTATCGTCGACGCTGGCCGATGTGGTGGGACCCGCGGTCATCTCGGTGTTGACGGCGGTTCTTGATGCAGTGGAGGTCGTTGCCGTCTCGCCGATGGTGCTGCTCGAGGTACTTGCGGCCGCCGCGATCTCGGGAGCGGCGCTGCTGACGGAGGTGGCAGAGCTCGTGGCTGACTCGGTGGTGGTGGTCGGCGGGGCAACGCACATGTAGCCCCAACCTGTGTTCCCTTGGATGAGAATTCCCTGGTCGGCTGTATATGAATTGAAATAGAATTGAAACGGGTGGTTGCTCCACGAACGGCCATAACATCCTGCAGGACGGACAGAAATCCTGCGAACCCCGCTTGCCAGAAGAACAATCGTATGAGATGATTGGCGGTTCCCCTCCCCGTGTCCCCCTTCCACAATGCCGTTTGAGGCCTCCCCTCCCCCGGGGGTCGGGGGACGAGCATATCAACGCACCCCTGGAGCTTCCTGAGCCTCCAAAGGGCCACAAGACGGCTCAAAATGGCGACAATATACTTCAAAAGAGCGTTGAACCCTACGACGGTCCAAGATGATGGCTTCGGGACTGCTCACGAGGCCCCCAAGATGGCCCAAGAGTGCTCCCAGAAGACCGCCGAGAGGGCCTCAACATGCAAACATCGTCCAACTCCCTTCAGAAAGCGTATATGGTTAGCATATTGCATTTTTCGTCACGACAGCGCCCAAGACGGCCCAATGGGCCCCCAAGATCATCTCATGACAGCCCTTGATGTTACCAAACAGGCCCAAAGGCGGCCCGAAACCGTCCCCAGGGCCTCCAAGACGGCCTAAGAGAGGCCGAAGAGGGTCAGAGGGGCCAAAGAGAGGGAATCATAATTGAACCCTATAGCTTTTCCCACCAAGACCGCCCCACGAGCCTCCCACAGGCCTCCGAGGTGCACCCAAGAGGCATCCAAGAGGTACCCAAGAAGCCAGAAAGATGCCCCCAAGAACTCCACAAGGGGCACCCACTAGTCCCCGAGACACGCCCAAAAAGCTCCCCAGATGCCTCCAAGAGCTTTCCATGAGGCCCCCGAGGGCATTCCAAGAGACCCCCATATGCGTCCCATCCCTCTCTCTCTCTCTTTCCCGTCTCCTTCCGATTTCCTTCTCTCTCTCTCTCTGTTCCTGCTCCTCCTCCCCATTCGTCTCGTCCTCCTACCCGCATGAAAGCACGGAGCATCAGAAGAAAGAACGGAGCAGTAGAGAAAGAAAGAACGGAGCATCAGAGAACGAAATGAAGGAACGGAGCATTAGCATTGAAAGAACGGAGGAGGGCTCTCCATGAAAGAACGGAGCGTCAGAGAAAGAAGTGCCTGTGTCCTTGTCCGAGTCCTCCGACGCCCGCCTCCCGGGACCGCAGAGTCGCGCGAGATGATTGGCCGTCCCCTTGTCGAACACATATTGTAGGGGGAAAACAAACCTAGCTCGCTCTGATATTAGCCCAACATGGATGCAGAGGTGGGTGCAACATTGAGGACCACGACTCGCCCCACCACTTTCCATGGTCAGGGGGACGTAAGACCTGGGTACAGGGGACTCGGAAATCCCCGACGTGGTCGTCAAAAAAATGACGAGGCCGAGCCTGCATTTTGACGAGGCCTCCCGCTGCAGACATCCCACGAAACTCCTCCTCGTCAAAATCCGAGGCGCGGTCGTCAAAAAACGATGACGAACCCGAGTCCTGGCAAACCCGGGTCTTACGCTCCCCCGAACATATTAGCCCAACATGGATGCAGAGGTGGGTGCAACATTGAGGACCACGACTCGCCCCACCACTTTCCATGGGCTCCTCGCGTCGCCTGGGGGTCGGCGGAATGGCGCCAGCCTCTTGGAAATGACCTTCGCACCAACCAAGATCCCCACAAACATCGGCAATGCAGGGTGAAGAAGGGGTCGCACAAGTTGCCGGAAACACGTCACGAACTGCATCCCAACATTCGCGTTGAGTGACCACTGGCACGAGGCCAAGAGCTGAACACGAACCACCATACGCGACGAACGTGTACGATTTCCCAAACACATTGCAACTTGGTGGAAATGGACAGTCTATCAACCCGTTGTTTGTTGCGTACTCCAAGCTAATTTCGACATCACCACCAAGCCCTGCATGAACACAAGTCACATCTCCATTCGCCTCGACTGTATCTGCACTCAACGAGAAGAGCGTAAGAACGGTATTGAACTGGAGCGCTCCACTAGCCGTCCACTTACAAGAAATGGTAGTCAGTGAGGAAGTAGTCGTGTGCGGCGTCGTGGAAGTCTCAGAGGTCGTGTGCGGCGTCGTGGAGCTTGCAGAGGTGGTGTGCAACATCGAAGTAGGCATCACTGCAGTCAAGAATCGAACTTCTCGAACAGCAATGGCGTCACACTTCCAAAGTTCGCCAGAATCGCAAGTGCCTCCCTGGTTTGACACCATGTTGAGCCGCCAAAAACGCGCGCGGGTGGGATGAAAAGTGAAACGCTCAAACGGCATGTAATCACAACTCTCATGCGACGGCAAAAGGGACTTGAAAGTCGACTCAAAACTTCCTACCTGGTACCAAAAACTGCCGTCGCTGCTGCAATCTACTGTGAACAATGCCATCGCGCTGTCATCCTCACCAGGGTATATGTCAACTCCAGCCACAGGTACAGTGTCGCTAAGGACATCGTACAATATCCACTCGCCTGTGGTGTTTGTAATTGCAGTTGAGAACACAGTGTTGCAGTCGCCATCCACAGATCTGTATCCAGGGCACCACCAATCCGCCGACCCCATGAGGCGTGTGCGGAATCCTTCTTAGTTGGATATGATGTCTTCTTATACATCACAAGCTCCCTACCAACGCCCCTCCCTCGCCCTCTCCTTGCCTCGGCACTCCCACCCCGCAGCAGCTCCCTTTCTTCGGACCTCCCCCACGAGAGCTCTTCTGGGGACCCCCCACCCCGCAATTTCTGGCCCGAAACCTACCAACGCCCCCTACCTGGCCTGGCATCCCCACCCCGGGAGAGCTCTCGCCCCCCTCCTGGCCTGACATCCCCAACCTGGGAGAGCTCTGTTCTTGGGACCCCCCACCTCACAATGTCTCGCCCGAAACCTATCAACGCCCCCCCTCCCGGCCTGGCATCCCCACCCCGCGAGAGCTCTGTTCTTGGGGCCCCTCACCCCACAACTTCTCGCCCGAAACCTACCAACGCCCCCCTCCTGGCCTGGCATCCCCACCTCAGGCGAGCTCTGTTCTTGGGACCCCCCACACAACGATTTTTCGCCCATAACTTGCCAACACCCCCCTCCTGGCCTGGCATCCCCACCCCGGGATAGCTCTCCTGGCCTGGCACCCCCACCCTAGGACAGCTCTGTTCTTGGGGCCGCCCACCCCACACTTTCGTGCCCGAAACCTACCAACGCCATCCCCCTGGACTAGCATCCCCACGGGGATGCCAGGCCAGGAAGGGGGCGTTGGTAGGTCTCGGGCGAGAAATTGTAGGGTGGGGGGCACCAAAAACAAAGCTTTCCCGGGGTGGGGATGCCAGGCCAGGAGGGGGGCACTGGTAGGTTTCGGGCGAAAAACTGTGGGGTGAGGGGCCCCAAGAACAGCGCTCGCCCGGGATTGGGATGTCAGGCCAGGTAGGGGGACGAGAGCTCTCCCGGGGTGGGGATGCCAGGCAAGGAGGGGGGCGTTGGTAGGTTTCGGGGGATGCCAGGCCAGGAGGGGGGCGCTGGTAGGTTTCGGGAGAGAAATTGTGCGAGGATTCCCAAGAACAGAGCTCTCCGGGGGTGGGATGCCAGGCCAGGAGGGGGGCGTTGTTAGGTTTCGGGCGAGAAATTGCGGGGTGAGGGGTCCAAAAGAACAGAGCTCTCCCCGGGAGAGCTCTCCTGGCCTGGCACCCCCACCCCAAGACAACTCTTTTCTTGGGACCGCCCACGACCCAAATTCTCGCCCGAAACCTACCAACGCCATCCTCCCGGCCTGGCATCCCCACCACGAGGAAGCTCTGTTTTTGGGACCCCTCACCCCACAACTTTTGCCCGAAACCTACCAACGCCCCCTTCCTGGCCTGGCATCCCCAACCCTGGAGAGCTCTGTTATTGAGGGGTCCCCATCTCACAACTTCTCGCCCGAAACTTACCGACGCCCCCCTCCTGGCTTGGCATCGCCCTGAAACCTACCAACGCCCCCCTCCTGGCCTGGCATCCCCAACCCGCAATCCCGGGTTAGCTCTGATCTTGGGGCCCCTTACCCAACAATTTCCCGCACGAAACCTACCAGTGCCCCCCTCCTGGCCTGGCATCCCCACCCCGCGAGAGCTGTGTTCTTGGGACCCCCCACCCCACGATTTCCCGCCCGAGACCTACCAACGCCCCCCTCCTGGCCTGGCATCCCCACCCCGCGAGACCCCTGTCTTGGGACCCCTCACCTCACAATTTCTGGCCCGAAACCTACCAGTGCCCCCCTCCTGGCCTGGCATCCCCACCCCGCGAGAGCTCTGTTCTTGGGACCCCGCACCCAACAATTTCTCTCCCGAAGCTTACCAACGCCCCCCTCCTGGCCTGGCATCCCCACCGCGGGAGAGCTCTGTTCTTGGGGCCCCCACCACACCCCACGATTTCTCGCCCATAACTAACCAACGCCCCCCTTCCTGGCCTGGCATCCCCACTCCAAGATGGCTCTCCTGGCCTGGCACCCCCACCCCGGGACAGCTCTGATCTTGGGACCGCCCACCCCGCAATTTTTCGCCCGAAACCTACCGGCGCCATCCTCCTGGCCTGGCATCGCTCTGTTCTTGGGGCCCCTGAACCCACAATTTCTCGCCCGAAGCCTACCAACGCCTCCCGCCTGGCCTGGCATCCCCATCCCAGGAGAGCTGTTCTTGGGGCTCTTCACCGCTCAATTTCGGCGCCCCCCCCCCCCCTGGCCTGGCATCCCCCGAAACCTACCAGCGCCCCCTTCCTGGCCTGGCTTCCCCACCCCGGGGGAGCTCTCGCCCCCCGCCTGGGCTGGCATCCCAAGCCCAGGAAAGCTCTGATCTTGGGACCGCCCACCCCGCAATTTCTCGCCCGAAACCTACCGAGGCCCCCCTCCGGGCCTAGCATCCCCACACCGGGAGAGCTCTGTTCGTGGGACCCCCCCACCCCGCAATTTCTCGCCCGAGACCTACCAACGCCCCCCTCCTGACCTGGCATCCCAACCCCGCGAGAGATCTGTTCTTGGGACCCCGCACCCCGCAATTTCTTGCCCGAAACCTACCAGCGCCCCCCTCTTGGCCTGGCACCCCCACCCCGCGAGAGCTCTGTTCGGGACCCCCCACCCCACGATCTCGCCCAAAACCTACCAACGCCCCCCTCCTGGCCTGGCACCCCCACCCCGGGAGAGCTCTGTTCTTGGGACCCCCATCCACAATGTTCGTGGGGCCCCCCACCCCGCAATCTCGCCCGAAACTCACCGGCGCCCCCCTCCTGGCGTGGCATCCCCACCCCGCGAGAGCTCTGTTCTTGGGAACCCCATCCGCAATGTTCTTGGGACCCCCCACGCCGCAATTTCTCGTCCGAAGCTTGCCGGCGCCCCCCTCCTGGCGTGGCATCCCCACCCCGGGAGAACTCTATTCTTGGGGCCCCCGCCCCGCAATTTCTCGCCCGAAACCTACCAGCGCCCCCCTCCTGGTCGGGCATCCCCACCCCGCGAGAGCTTTGTTCTTGGGACCCCCCACCCCACAATTTCTCGCCCGAAACCTACCCACGGCCCCAGGAGAACTCTGTTCTGCGGACCCCTGCCGACATTTCTCGCCCGAAACTTACCATCGCCCCACTCCTGGCCTGGCATACCCACCCCGGGAGAACTGTTCTTGGGCCCCCCCACCTAACAATTTCTCGCCCGAAACCTGCCAACGCCCCCCTCCTGGTCTGGCATCCCCACCCTGCGAGAGCCCTGTCTTGGGACCCCCATCCCGCGATTTCTCGCCCGAAACATACCGGCGCCCCCCTCCTGGCCTGGCATCCCCACCTCGGGAGATCTCTGGTCTTGGGACCCCCCCACCCCAAAACTGCTCGCCCGAAATCTACCAACGCTCCCCTCCTGGCCTGGCATCCCCACCCCGGGAGAGCTCTGTTTTTGGGACCCCCTACCATGCAATTTCTCGTCCGAAGCCTATCAGCGCCCCCCTCCTGGCCTGGCATCCCCACCCCAGGAGAGATCTGTTCTCGGGACCCCCCACCCAACGATTTCGTACCCGAAACCTACCAACGCCCCCCCCCTGGCCTGGCATCCCCACGCCAGGAGATCCCCCCCAACATTTTTTCGCCCGACGCCTACCAACGCCCCCCCCCCATGGCCTGGCGCCCCCACCCCGGGAGATCCCCCCAAGCCATTTCCTGCCCGACACCTACCAACGCCCCGCTCCTGGCCATGCATCCCCACCCCGGGAGAGATCCTCCCCAACAATTTCTTGCCCGACACCGGCCAACGCCCCTCTCCCGGCCTGGCATCCCCACCCCGCGAAAGCTCTGTCCTTGGGATCCCCCACCCCGCAATTTCTCGCCCGAAACCCACCGGCGCCCCCCTCCTGGCCTGACATCCCCACCCCAGAAGAGATCTGTTCTCGGACCCCCCCCCGACACCTACCAACGCCCCCCTTCCTGGCTTTGGCATCGCCATGGGAGAGCTCTGTTCTTCGGATCCCCCTCCCCACAACTCCTCGCCCGATACTACCAACGCCCCCCTCCTTACCTGGCCCCCCCCCGGGAAAGCTCTGCTCCTGGGACCCCCCACCCCGCAATTTCTGCCCGAGCCCTACCAGCGCCCCCCGCCTGGCCTGGGATCCCCATCCTGGGAGAGCTTTCTTCTTGGACCCCCCCCGCTCCGCAATTTCTCGCCCGAAACCTACCAACGCCCCCCTCCTGGCCCGGCACCCCCACCCCGGGAGAGCTCTGTTCCTGGGCCCCCCCAGCCCACGATTTCTCGCCCGACACCTCCGACGCACCCCGCAATTTCTCGCCCGAAACTTACCAGCGCCCCCCTCCTGGCGTGGCATCCTTTCCCCGGGGGAACTCTATTCTTGGGCCCCCCGCCCAGTAATTTCTCGCCCGAAACCTACCGACGCCCCCCTCCTGGTCGGGCTTCCCAACCCCGCGAGAGCTCTGTTCTTGGGCCCCCCACCCCGCAATTTCTCGCCCGAAATATACCGGCGCCCCCTCCCTGGCCTGGCATCCCCACCTCGGGAGAGCTCTGTCATTGGGACCCCTCACCCAACAACTTCTCACCCGAAACCTACCAACGCCCCCCTCCTGGCCTGGCATCCCCACCCCGGGAGAGCTCTGTTCTTGGGACCCCCCACCCCCACCATTTCTCGCTCGAAACCTATCAACGATCTCCTCCTGGCCTGGCATCCCCACCCCGCGAGAGCTCTGTTCTCGGGCCCCCCCGCTCGACGATTTCGTGCCCGAAACCTACCAAGGCCCCCCTCCGGGCCCAGCATCCCCGCCCCGGGAGAGATCCCTCCAACAATTTCTTAGCAGAAACCTACCAACGCCCCCCTCCTGGCCTGGCATCCCCACCCCGCCAGAGCTGTGTCCTTGGGATTCCCCACCCCGCAATTTCTCGCCTGAAACCTACCGGCGCCCCCCGTCCTGGCCTGGCGCCCCCGCCCCAGAAGAAATCTGTTCTCGGGACCCCCCACCCAACGATTTCTTGCCCTAAACCTACCAACGCCCCCCTCCTGGCTTGGCGCCCCATGGGGGAGCTCTGTTCTTGGGCCCCCCCCACCATTTCTCGCCCGATACTGCCAGCGCACCCCTCCTGGCCTGGGACCCCCATCCCGGGAGAGCTCTGTTCTTGGGACCT